AGCGCCTATGATAAATACAGTATCAGTCAACACTTTCATTTGGGAATAAAGCCTGGATAATAGGTCCTTACCAGCAACTCATCTGGCATTAAAAGCAAGCTTCTTAAGTTGGAGAGACCATGATTTTCTTAGTGAGGAAGACCATCGATTCACTTCTTTCTTTACAAATGTCAGGTTGCAACTTCATACCATATCTCCCTCTAGTTGTGATTACTTCAGCATTTTCTCCAGATTATTTCCCTGCTCTATCAACCCCATTTTCCTAAGGCATTTCTTAACTAGGGCTTACAATATGGATAACCACTAACATGGCAGCAAAGACGGATCATTCTAACTTTTTGTTGCCATCTACTGGTCTTATGAATGTTTTCAGCCAATCACGAATGGCTTAGACCCTCATTTCCATCTTGAAGACTTTGGACTTGTCCCAATTGGTATTTGGCCCAACTCAATCTATTTCTATCTCTGTTCAGATACAGCTAATGATCTGAATGGAGAGAAGCCTGTGTGGCGTGGCTAGATCATTCTCTGCTCGGTTTGAGACTCATTGCCAGTGTAAACATCTATGGGAGTAGGGAGCCATTAAAAAAAGTTGGGATCAATATTGTTGATACCAAAGACAGCTTAGGAAGTTAATAAGCGTTCTCTCCCCTGTCAGAGAATCAAATCAGTTCCTTGGTTCTTTTGATGGGACAGAGTAGGTGGTTCCTCAACTGGAATACAAATGGAAGACTATTAGGATAGATCAAATTATCTATGGAAAGGCCATTGGAAGACCCATGATTACATACTCTATCTCATGGCAACAGGACAGTTGAATTTGCCTTCATTGCACCCACAAAGACCTGGCTGATTAAATTAACCAGGCCAATCAACCAGGCCAAGTCAGGCCCAATGGTTAAGGGAGAGGACCAATAACGTATTGCCAAAGTTATATTTCTCCTTGCTTAGCCTAAGGAAGTAATAATACTACAGAAAATCTCTTTTCATTTAAGAAGCCTATAAAATTATAAATCAGCCTGACAAACTCCATTTCTAGGAATGAGAAATCTGTAACTTGAGCCTTACAGCTCCAGGTGCATCAGAAGAATACTGAATTTTTTAAAATTATTTTTTATTTTTTGGTTTTCAATAGGTTTTTTTTGCAAGGATATGATCCTAAAATGCTTTGGTTACTTTCTTAGGTGAGATACTCTAGATTGAAGCTGGAGGGAGCTGGAGGAGAGAGGGATTTGGCCCTTAAGTTCATTGGTCCTCATGGTGACTTCTAAAACACATGGCTGAACTGGATCTTGTGGTCTCTGTTTACAGTAATTCTAGTATTTCCCGTCAGTCTGTGTCCTAAAGGTGATGCTGGGGTTCATCTTATACTGTCTCACAAAATTCCATCCTCTAGCCATGAAGTTTAACAGGAATTTTAAGTGGGATGAGCGTGAGGCAAGTTGAGACCTTTCCTACATGGGATGCAAGCAAATGGTACACTTATTCATACTCAGATTTTTTTTTTGAGAATGATATACATATTTTCATTGAATACTCCAGGGGCCCACTTTAATCACTGCCCATTCCTTGCAATAACATTTACTGCTGTTATATTTCCAGTCATCATTTAGACAAACTATCCCCATCTATCAAGACTCAAAGCATGACCGTCTAGAAAAGTGTGCATCACATAAAGAACATCTTTTTTGTATTGCTATAAAAACATGCCTAATTCTTCAGAGTCTCATCAATTCAGAATAACAGAGTTGGAAGAGACCTTGGAGGTCTTCTAGTCCACCCCCCTGCTCAAGCAGGAAACTTCTGGATAAAGAATTGCATTAAAATCCCCCTTTTTTTAAAAAAAAATCCTCTTAATTTCTCTTCAATTTAAGGTTTTTTTTTTGTACCTGTCACTTTTCAGAGGATATTATTTGTATGTTCTCCAATGGCATCAAAAGCATGCTATCTTTATAAAAGACAAAATAATCCAAATTACCAGATCACTCTTCTCTGTCAAAACCATAAGAACTGAACATAGAAGATGGTTCTATTAAACAAATATTGAATGATTGATGCATTTTAGACATCTTTTAGGGGGGGTGCGATGGCTCAGCTATTAAAGATGCTGAGCTTGTCAACTGGAAAGCTGACAGGCTGTGTTTGAGACCTGAGCGCAACAGAGTGAGCTCCCGTTACTTGTCCCAGCTCCTGCCCACCTAGCAGTTTGAAAGCATGCAAATGCAAATAAATAAATACTACTTTGGTGGGAAGGTAACAGCGTTTTGTGCCCTTCGTTGTATAGTCTCGCGGGCCACATGATCATAGAAATGTCTTTGGATAACACTGGCTCCCGTGGCTAAGAAATGGAGATTAGCACTGCCCCCTACAGTCAGACTCAACTAGACAGGGAAAATCTTTACCTTTTCTATCTTTCAATGTACTGTTCTAATACACCACCTAATTACAGAGGTAGCTTATTTTTTCCTGGGACAAACTCTAGCTTAGGGGTCTTCAAACTTGGCAACTTTAAGACTTGTAGACTTCAACTCCCAGAATTCCTCAGCCAGCCAAGGCTGGTTGAAGAACTCTGGGAGTTGAAGTCCACAAGTCTTACAGCTGCCAAGTTTGAAGACCCCTGCTCTAGCTGTTAGGTATTGTATTTTAAAGTCATCAACCAATAATGTAAGCCCAGTATTGAAAAACAACCTGTTTTCCATTCTAATCTGCCCCTGTTTTAGCTCTTCTATTCAATTTGTGGTCAAATTGCCATCTTCTTCAGAACCATGCTACATAATTACACAACTCATCTTTCACTTGTGTCATTGTGATTTAGTATTGCTTTCTCCAGGAAAGCCTGCCTCATCTCTACTTTATCAACTTTAGCTACCTGGTTAGGACAGTTACTTTGGCATTTTAAACATTATGTATTCCTTGGTGGGTGCTTTCTGTTTTATCGTTGTCCTTTGTATGGTGGTCTAACTATTGTATTTTCAGACTGCCATTTTATATGTTTTGCAATATCATAAAATCTTATCTGATAAAGGAAGGTATAAAATATACTGCTCAAAAAAATAAAGGGAACACAAACGTATAGGATCCTATACATTTGTGTTCCCTTTATTTTTTTGAGCAGTATATTTTCAATCAATTAAGACATGGCATTTTTTTCCCCCAGAGTCCTTCATTGGCTGCCTGTAGCTTGTGCAAACCTGCCAGGAGGTGGAGATATTGAGCTCTTGAGCAAGCAATTCTCATCCCATGCTAGAAGGGGTTAATAATATTAACATCCACCCAAAAACAAATTAGCACAAGGAAATTTTATATAAATGTTTCACACTAATGAATCCATGTTTCATTGATCAAATCATACACAAGAATGAGCTTTTGTTCAATATATTCAGGCTTATCTCAAAAAAGAAAACAAAACAGAGATTGTTCCAGGCTGTTTATTATCTCTCAGCACACTTTTTGAACATTCAACAAATGCCCCGGATTGCAATTTGCTAGCATTGTGCTTTAATCCCTATGTGAAATCTTGGTTTATTGAAAGTCTGAATTTAGGATACCATAAATACAAATTTCCTGGGCACCCTAGGCAAGAGCAAGTTATCATATGCAAGCCGTAGATCTTCCCAGGCATCCTTCATCACTTTGCTGGTATTTCTCTCTTACACCTCTTCCCATGTTCCCCACCTGATGTTTGACAGTTTTGCAGCCAGCTAAATATTAAGAACCAGTAAGGCTTAATAAAACCTGTGACTTCCATGCATGGAGGTTTTCTAAGATACCTTTGTTGCAAATTGGACCACCATCCATCTTCTTCCCAGGTTTATTTAGCCAAGGTGATTCTCAACCTTGACAACTCAAAGATGGATAGACTTCAGCTCCCAGAATTGGGTGCTGGCTGTGGAATTCTGGGAGTTGAAGTCCACCCATCTTTCAGTAGCCATAGTTGGAAAAGATAATTTCTGCAACCTCAGGAAAGAAGGGTTTTAGAAGAATTAAGGAAATTAGATAGAGGATAATTTTTTAATTCACACTGCATTTGTTTTTAATTAGCTGGCATCAGATTTCTAAATTCTTCTTTCATACAATTCTCAGTCAATCTGGGGGTGGGATGGAGACAAGCATCTTAGTCAAATGTTTGCAAACATTTTTCACACCTATTTGCAAACTGCAAATAAATTGTACTGCGAGGGAAATTGCCCACTGATTTGAAATGATCTGGAGACCAAATTAACAAAATAAGGTGTTTATTCCATGTAATTTGGATGGGAAATTAATCATTAAATCTCTCTAGAAAAAAAAGTCCAGATAAATCATAGTAATGGTTTCAGAATTTTCACACAGAAATATAAAGTACAGTAGCATAACGTGTCATACAGATTTATATCCTGCGAAACCATGCTGTGAATTTTTAAGCCTTAGCAAGAATTTATGTACATTTTTCAGATGCACTGCAGAGTCCTTCCAGAGAACTATCATGAAATCTAGTTATTTTTTCTGAAAAGGAACAACCTTCAAAAAGCAAGGAAAGTAATTTGAAGCAAGATATATGACCAGAAATCAGCAATATAACACTCTAGAAAAGTGGAAAAAACCTTGTCACCAACCTTGGTCTATGACAGTGGTGGCGAACCTATGGCATGGATGCCAGAGGCAGCACTCAGAGCCCTCTCTGTGGGAACACGCGCCATCGCCCCAGGCCTAGACCTTCAGCTGGGTTTTATAAAACCTTTTCGCTTTAGGCCTCCGCCGCCATGTGCAAAAAAAAAAAAGGTTCAATCAATCAGTCAATTTCAACTTCTCACGGGAAAAAAAAAGATCTTGCAAAGTTGGAATTAATTGATTGAACTTTTTAGTCCCATCCAGTTTGCTGTTACCATCGCAGCCATGCCCACCCAATGGGCCACACTCACCCAATTGGCCATACCCACCCAATGGGTTACACCCACCCGGCACTCAACAATGCATAAGTGAGTTTTGGGTTGCAGTTTGGACACTCGGTCTCTAAAAGATTTGCCATCACTGGTCTATGATGTTGCAGTCTATATTTCCAGTCTCTCACTATATCAGGACCATCTGTAAGAATAGGGATGATAAAAGGCACAAGAATAGCCATGTCCAGGCAATGAAAGACCCACCTCTTTTTTCACCTGTATTAATTGGTCACAGATACCAACTCACAGACCCACCTGCACTCCTTAGTACCTGTGGATCTGCAAGGGGGACCAAGTGTTATCGTTACATTACGTCATTACACAAGTGACTTTAAGTTGAAGTCTTTATTTACAGCAGGGGTCTTCAAACTTGGTCCTTTTATGACTTGTGGAGTTCAACTCCCAGATTTCCACAGCCAGGTAAGCTGGCTGAGGAATTCTGGGAGTTGAAGTCCACAAGTCATAAAAGGGCCAAGTGTGAAGACCCCTAATTTACAGTTTATGATCAGATGCAAACAAATCCTACTTGTTATTCTCCAATTATACCTTTAACCGCCATCTCATCTTGGAACTTTTGATTAATACACAGTTGCCTCACTACCCAGACCTCTTTTTATTGTATTTTTTGCACATTGGGACTACTCTACAAACGAGGCAAGTTATGCAATAATTAATTGCATAATTACACAGTTTGTACGATGACCTGTGATATCATAGTGGCTTCTCTCAGTTGTCTCCGCCATAATAATTTTGCACTGGATGTCCACTGGCTTTTCATGATATGGCTAACTGTAGACAGGATGTAACTGGAATCCACAAACTGATGCAGTCATCATTTACCACTTCCTTTGGAGAGGCCTGGTTTTTGCAGCCTGGATTGGTTTTTGCTGATTAAAAATATATATTAAATATCTGTGTGCTTTGCATGTAGCTAGGATACAGGCTGAACCATCTGACCTTATCTGATACTAAGAGACAGAAAGGAAATGATTCAGCTCAGCAATTCCTGCTCCAGTAGAATTGTTGTGGAAAATTCTCCTCAGCCTAATATATATTCACTGCCCATTGCTTTTTAAAGGTGAGGTTTATGTTTAAAACTATTTCTGAAGTCCCTTTTGTCCATCAACACTCTGGATCAATGACTGAACTACAGCAATTGCTATATCTGCCAAGCAGTAGGAGGAAAAAAAAGTATAACATTTAATTTATACGAAGATTCCTCACTTGAGAGTGGAGCAGTGGTGGGATTCAGCTGGTTCGCACCACTTCAGCTGAACCGGTAGCTAATTTTTTGTTGCCCAGGCCCGGAAGTGGCATCCATACAGAGAACCAGTTGTTCACATATTTGAATCCCACCACTGGAGTGGAGTGTCATGTTATCTACTCCCAAGAACAGGACAGAGAGCCATTTTGGTGCAACGATTAAAAGCAGTGGATTAGAAACCAGAAGACTGCAAATTCTAATCCCATCTTAAGTACAAAGCCAACTGGATGACTTTGGGCCAGTCACTCTCTCTCTCTCTGCCCTAGGAAGAAACCAATCGGAAACCGCTTCTGAAGAATGTAGCCAAGAAAACTGTAGCCCAGGCAGTCGCCGGAAGTCAAAAACTGACAGGAGGAGGAGGAGGAAGAGAAGCAGAAAGAGAAGAAATATGGTTAGAAAGTACATTCTCCTTTGAGTTGAATTCAGAACTGCATCCATTTATTTTCTGAGAAACAGTTCAGAAGTGGTTTGCCAAAGCTTTCTTCTGGGATATTTTTTTCCGCTTGCCACTTTAGCCTGTGGCATTTCTAGAGGTCTCCTTTCTCAGTGCCAACAATATCTAACTCTGCTTACAGCAGTTGTGTGTGTGTGTGTGTGTGTGTGTGTGTGTGTGTGTTTGTGGCAATGATCCAAGATCATTCGCTGAGGCCACCTAGCTGAGCAGATGGGCGTATTGATTTGTTTAAAAAGTGCTCATTTACATGCAAAGATCAAGGTTTGTCATCTAACTGAAATTAACACGCAGTGCATTTCACCCTAGTCAGGAAAGATATGGCCAAAGGAGCTGCACGCAATTCATTCTATTGTCCAATTGCTAATTCATTAGCAGGCAACTCCCAAGTTTCATGTTTTCCTTCTTCGAACTTTATTTATTTTTTTTACATTTCAACCAATGTGCAATTAGAAGATGCCTTCAAATACAGACTGTCCTCCCATAGCCTTACAAATAAAGGTCTGCTTTCAGTAGAGAAGGGCATGTGTCGCTTTTGCTATTTGTTAAACAAATGTATAATAAAATTCTGCCCTGACAGCTTTTCCAAACTGACCCAACAGTTTGTTTTTCCTTGCTGAGTCCATGTTCTTCTGCTACTTCAAACTATTCAAGCATATCCTGTCTTTCTCTGATATGCCCGCGATAAGTTCTTGACTGCCTGCAAAAGCTGTTGTTCCCTGGAGTGTCTAACCAATTATGTTTCCAGGTGAGGCTTACTTGTCATTGGAAAGCTAGATTGGGAAGTAATTTGAAAAAAAAGAATACGTAGCAAGACAATATGTCTCATGCCAGGCAAATACGCCTCACTCTTAGGGAAATCTAAAAGAAGGATACAATGAAGTTGAAGTTTGTGTGTTGCAGTGGAACAGGTGGCTGCTGCAGCCACTTCTCCCATGCTGAAGACCTTCCCAGAGCAAGGTGTTTGATAAATACTCCAGAGAGCAGTGCTGATTGTTTTCCTGCTATTGGATGACCAGACAGATCAGGACAGACCAAACTTTGCACTTATCTCTGTAGGCAGCTGAGCATTAGGCTGCCAAGTCATTCTGCAGACCCAGTATATCACTCTGGAAAACATCTAATACTGAGGCTCTTAACTGTTTTGTGAATGGACAAACTCAGCCAGCAGTCCATCTGTGCAAAGTATCTACCATATACAGTAGTGTGTTCTCAACATTTTAAAAGTGCTCACCTTCCCGGTAAGATTAGAGGCCTCTCATATAAAGGGAGCTTAGGGGAGGTGATCAGACTAGATGGCAGATCAAGGAAGAGATAATAAAGGGATGGATATATACCGGTAAGTGCCATACCATCCACTTTGCCAGTTGGCAGGGTGCTTTGCTCTACAGCTTACATTCTTTGCTCAGAAAATAAACTTTTTGGAACTTTCAGATTCAGGACTAGGGTATCGGAGAGAGACTGGCCAATCCAGGGGGAGAAGTCAAGTGGAGAATTAGTCTGGAATCCTTACTCAGGCACAAGAGGGAAAGGCCTGACCCTTCTCTCCTTAAATGTGTTGAACCTTATCTAGCCTGGTCAAGATGCACACTGCCAGTCTGGGAAGATTTCTATGTAAAAGACATGAGCAATAGAGTAGCTTAATTGAATTCTTCACATATGGATCTGGTTGTTTGAGCTTAATATAGCCTGATCATTAGACAAAATGAAGCAGCTATCATGGAAGCACTTGCAAGATTTAAATGAAAAAAAAATTGGCTGGCCTTGAACACTATATATCTTGACTTGAAGGAGAATGGACATTTGTTATTTTTGTCTCAGGCAGCAAAATCCAATCAAATTTCTGAGAACCGATTTTTTAAAAAATTTCTAGGAAAGGGTATCTTTCTACCTAACCTATGGCAGACAACAGGCTTAGAAAGGCAAATAGATACGGGTGCAGTCCTGCCAGGGTGCCAGGCTATGCTAGCCAGAAGGACTGGAGAGCTGAGGAGAAGGAAGACCCCATAACATGCTGCAGGTAGCCATGATACCGTGTAGGTCCCAATGCTCATCTTGCCCTATCTCTTCCTTGCTCAGGAATATAGATCATCCTTTATCAGCATCTAAACAAGATCTCTAAGGCTCTTCCATATAAATAAAGGAACACTGTTGTTGTTGTTGTTGTTATGATTTGTTGCAGAGTCAGCCAAATGTTCAGACAGGGTTTGGCATTTCTGACTACCTATCAATCCCTTTCCCAGGACCTGGAATAGGCAGCTCTGGATGTTTGATGTTGTTCTTGTTGTTGTTATTAAACATGCTAGTTTCTTCTACTGAATTGTTTTAGTCCATAGGAAAATAGAAATGGTCATGACCCAAGTTCCTCTTTCAATAGATTGTCTGGCTTTGATTGCCTTGAGAAATGTTTAGTTTTGAAGATGTGAAAATGTGGAAGAGAAACACTCCAGTTAGTAATTACATGGTACAGCTTTTCTGCTGTCTGCATACCCATTGCTGTACATGTCTTGAAAACTATGCCTTCTCTCTTTTAAAAGAAATTGGAAGAAATAAGCCATTTCTTCCAATTAGAAAATGAGATTGTTTTACTGATAGGAAACAGTTTAGTTCATTCCAGGTCAAATCTGACTCCATACTGAGATTATTGGGCTTTAGTAGGATCTAGTTTTTTTGCTAACCTTTGCTTTCCTCAGCCAAACTCTTCTCAGTTACCCATCCATTTACAATATCTAATTTGCTTTTCACTAAAGAAACTATTTGAGAAATCTCATTTTTCTGTGCCACCAACAGCAGGACAAGCCACATTTTTTCAGTGTTCCTAATTCTCACCATAATATAAGAATTCATCATAAAAATCTACCTCAGGAGTTCCATTTAGCCAACTAGCATTGTGATGCCAATTTTTATTGTTGAAACTACCAGCACCTTTCCAGACTTTTCAGGGACACGCAGTCCAGTTCTACCTGAAAATCTCAGAGATTAAGCTGGAATCTTAACTGGGACTAGGGCAATTGGAAATAAAACCAACTGCACCATTAGTTTTGCCATCCTTGTATTGGGGTAAGAAGCCAGAACGTTGACATTTCCCGTGATCTGTCTTCAGTTCCCAATGGAGAAGGAAGGCTGTAATGTTCACCTTACTTCTGAGGCATTTTTGAGCCAGCAAATGCAAATGTTAATAATAATATTAAATTGATAATCCCCTTCTCAATACATAAGCATTAGCATGGAAAACTCAAAAAGTTTCTGATCTTCCTGTCTGTATCATGCAGGACTTCTATCAAGGACACAATGCTTTAAAACAGGGGTGTCTAAACTTGGCAACTTTAAGACTTCCCAGCATGGCTGTCTGGGGAATTCTGGGAGCTGAAGTCCAGAAGTCTTAACGTTGCCAAGATTGATCATCCCTGCTCTAAAATAAATTCTTCATTGCAGCTCCAAATTGGACTGTGCTTTGAAGTCAGAAAAAAAATCATTTCAGTTCCCTTTTTTGGGGGGGGTTTCATGCATATTGAAGATTTAGAGTCACACTTCCTGAAAAATGTAGCTTTTTGTGGCTTTATTTTGCAGATGGGAACTATTTGTTGAGGATATAAGGTTTGAGACACGTTCCCTATAATTTCTATTTGATTTTATTGTCTTCTACCTCTTAATTACATTTTGAGCTATTTAGCTGTTTAATAAATGTCTGTTTAGTCATTGTTTCACTTTGTTCCCCAGTATTATTCTAGACTTCCTTAGCATGTTTGTCCTTTCAAAGTATTTCCAAATGGGACAACGTGCAAAATTTCCATTAAGAAACTGTCATATGAAAGACGGGAATGCACAGTCTTGTTTAGAACAAGCACCATCTTTTCTGTTGCTTGGCCAGAGCCATGTTTCAAAAACTGAATGGGGATAGGACAAAATTGCATTTAATTTATATTTCCATTTAATTAAAATTCAGTGTAACCAAGTAATGCATTTAAGAGGATTATTCCCTATTTGTTTAATAATTTTCCTGTTTGGTCCCATTACAAATTAAAGTTCAGTAGCTATTTTGGGAAGGATTTTGGGAACTGCAGCTAAGTCTTTGCAGGAACTTTTTGTTTCCCTAGTTTGCAAGCTAAGTAAAATTTGATTGAAATGTTCCTTTTGGGGGGGGGGGGATGCTGGAGATCTGAACAGAGCTCTTTACTGGTTGCTGACTGGGGAGTTCTGGGAGTAGAAAGCCACACATCTTCAACTTGCCAAGGTTGAAAAACTCTGGTGTAGACAAAGAATAAGTCTACTCTTTCTTACTTACCTATCTCAATGTTAAGAATGGGTCATAAAAGCAGAAATGATTCTGTTTTGTCAATGGTTTATCCCTTAGACCATGGGTGTCAAACTCGCCGTGTTACATGATGTGTCACGACATATCATGACTTTTTTTGCATTGCTGGAGCTGGCCTCCCCATGATGCTCCCCACAGGCTGGCAGTTTCACACCCCTGCCTTAGACATTCTCAATGTGATTATAAAAATGTGAACAAATGCAACTTTTGGCTATATGAAAGATTGTTTGGTCTACTGGTTACAGCACCAGGCTAGAAATTGGGACATTGTGAGTTCTTGTTCCACTTAGCCATGAAAAGTAGTTGGGTGACTTTGCGCCAGTTATTATCTCTCAGTCGAACCCAGCTCACAGGATTGTTGTTGTTGTGAGGAAAACAGGAGGAGGCAAGAATATTAGATATGTTCACCATCTTGAGTTATTTATAAAAATAATAATGGCAAGATATAAATAAAAAATTAAAAATATGCAATGAAAAAGCTGTTGGTCACATGGACTGTTGGGGCCTGATCATCTGTTAAAAACTGCTACGTCACATGGAAATATATCCGGGCAGGCAAATGGTAGGAAGGTGTTAATGTTATGACAAATGTCACTGGAGAACATCTTGTGTGCATTGAAGTATATATGGAAGATTGTGCACTGGTGCATGTTTTCAGTACAAAAATGACAAGTGAGATTAAAGCATATTTTCTCATTAAAAGGTGTTAAACTCAGCATTTCAGAGCATGTGGGTCTGCCAGCATAATTTTCCTTTAAATGCTTAACTTGTAGAAATTTGCAAAAGCAGGTCTCGCTATACCCCGCCTTCAACCTGTTCTCTGGGCTAAATTGCCTAACATAGATACCCACACAGGAGGATTCTTTTTCTGGAACATTCTCACAAAAGTGCTGCTGTTGCACATCACAATAGCTTAGAAAATAAGCAAAGTGTTTGAGGTAACACGATATGTGCATGTGAACAGTGCTGAGAGCTGGAATCTAAAAGGTTAATGAAACAGGCTAATGAGTGTAACAGAAAGAAGTTTTCTTTAAGGAATTACACAAATTACATTAGCTATCAGTAACCATTTCCATCAAAATGATTACGTCTCTGAAAAGAAAGAATCGGCTTTTGGGAGACCTCAGTGAAGTAACTGTTTCCTCTGGCTTCTGTAAAAATATCCTATGCCTTTAGATTTTGTCATGAGGAGAAAAAAACAGACACATAGAAATCCTCTATTGTTTTATATATTGTCATGTGTTTCTTGAGCTTCTCAAGAGATGTCTAGAGCACAGGTTCCCAAACTTGGCAACTTTAAGAGGTGTGGACTTCAATTCCCAGAATTCCCCAGCCAGCCATGACTGTATTTCAAAGGAACCAATCTGTGTTGCCCTCCAGGTGCCTGCCATACTGCAATCCCAGATAGGCATATTGGCGAATACTGATGGGAACTGCAAACTATGTTTCCTTCTTTAACCATTCACACATTGGGAGACCACCAAGTGAGATAAGTCTGCTTGAATGAAATCTGAAATAGCAGCCTATGATATATTTGTTTCTTTCTGTTCTTTAGTAAATGACGATGACACATGGCCAAAGAATAGGAAACCATTTGGGAAAATCGAGAGATGAAAGGTCAGTAACTTGCTTTACCACCAAGATCAGCAAGATTTGTGGGGACTTAAGCGAGAGCCTTCTGCTTAAGCCTCCCTTTGGATGTTCATCCCAAAGGAAACAGGCTATTTTAAAAGGTTACCTTATTATTCTGTGGCTATTTTTAAAGGTGCTTTAAAAACATACTGTGTAAACTGAAGAAAAAGCATTTGCTATTACTTAATAGGTACAACAAAATCGTAATACCATTTATGTTGCAAACCACTTTGGGAAAAATTAGATCCTTGAAAGGTACAAGGAAACACATTCAACGAAATAGGATGGGCGGGGGGATAAATAAGTGATGAATTAAGCAACACTATGCCTCCTATAATTATTTAAAGATGGGCAGTTTTGCAGGACTTCTTTTTTTCTTTTTTAAGAAATTCTTCACGCAACACAGACGCCTAACAAGCTGTTCCCGTCACTAGTACATAAGACTGTGTTGGATGATGTCCATGACAATGATTTCCTTTCTAATTCTGCCTGGCAACAGTCCCTGTGTTGCCATGTAACACCTACCTATGCACCTGGATGGAGAGAAGAACCTTGCACCCCATGTGGCTTTGTTGCATGCAACATATTCAGAGGCTGGAGGGTATCAACACAGCCAGACAACCTCAGATTAATCAGGTGGCCTCCTTACACTTCTGCCTTACAAGCAAATGCATTAATAATATGGAAAGAGGGAGAGAGAGAAATTCTTCAGGAAAACATGCCCTTTGTGTTCTGTCTGGCTGGTGTAACAAATGCAATGTCAGATAAAGGTGACCAGAGAAGGTATACTAACAAGACTTTTCTTCCTGCTCCAGAGTGTGATGACGTCCTTCCTTTTTTATTTTTTGGGTTGAATAAGAACATAATCAGTTCTTATTTATTCATTTATTTTGGACATCTCTACCTCAAAAACAAACAAACAAAAGATGAAGATGATGATGATGAAGAAGAAGAAGAAGAAGCAGCCAAGAACATTTCCTTGCAAGGACATCACCTACGACAGTGTCATACGCTCTGGCATTTAAGAAGGTTTATTCAATTCTGTCTGATCTGGGAACGCAATATTTTTTTTATTAAACTTTGCTTTGTAATGAAGTTTTCCTCATGTCTGTTTGTGAAACTACAGAGCTTTCAAGACTGGAGCAAGAGTAACACCCATGCACACTGCCTGGTTTAGCCCTATAAATTCAGAGTCAGCATTTAGGGGAAAACCTGGAAGTGACAAGTTAAGTATATTTCTATAAACTTATATAATAATTATGCTCTTGAATCCTTTTCAGTAAGGTTAGTTGAACTGACTGTTATGAAGACTTGGCATTGTAAACTGCAAACCTTGTCTATTGTTGTTATCCCGGAATTAAATTTTCTTCATTCTGAGGAATCAAAGGAACTTTTGCACTGGTTGATCCTAAGCTAACAACAAAATCTCTATACCGCTCTTTTGTCGAAAATAGTATTTTGGTTCGAACTGTTTTGAAGAATTTACTTCTTATCAGCTTTATTTTTTAGTATGTACGTATATATTTATGGGATTTATTTACTACCTAAAATAGCCTTAAGCAATATGTAGACAAATAATAGAATAAGATTAGTGGCCACGCAATTAATAAGCACTAATACCTTTAGTAAAATTGATATATTGTTGTTCTAATTACAAAGCAGCTTGAAATCAAAACCTTTGGGTTTTTCTTTTAATCTGTCCCCTTGTGATTCATTGTAGGCAAAGGTGATGTATAAATTGCAGGAGAATAATTACAAGCAGGACTCAAGCATGCTTATAATATTCCAATTCATTCCTTATGGCCCATGATTAGAACACATGTATAGCTCTAATAGTATAGCTAAGTAAGTAAAATAAAATAAAAGTACTTACAGACTGATGCTGAAGATCCAAAGGATAAGTAAAGTCAACTAAGGAAGTTACCTATGATAAAAAGTCAGCATCTGTGAACTTTCTGTTTTATTCTGGGAGGAAGGATAGTCTTAGAACTACTAAATCTTCTAATAAAGAAAGGTACAGCAGAGCCAAACAGAGAATCTGCATGCATGATGATTAAGGTAGCCTTAATATAGTGCAAAATGCAAAGATCTCTCTCTCTCTCTCTCTCTCTCTCTCTCTCTCTCTCTCTCTCTCTCTCTCTCTCTCTCTCTCTCTCTCTCGTCAAATGCATCATCAATTCAGAATCTCTGTGCCCCACCCCCATAACAGACTTAAGTCCCACCACCACCACTTGAAATCCATTAACTCTTATCTGGTGCCTATTTGCCTTGACCATTAATAGATCAGATTCTTTGTGTATTAAGCAGCATAAAAAAACCTTGCAATACTTTTGAATTTTATCCTGACTCCTGATTTCTTGCACCTGACATTCTCTTTATTATCAGAGTGTTTTTTATCCAGTTACTTTTGCTTGCTTGTTTTTACACTTTGCATCTCATTATTTTAGGATATTCTTGGAACACACATACCTCTGTGTGTGGGTTTATCTCTTATTCCATTTTAATAGTCACAGACATATTGCTGCCGGAAAATGTAGTTAATATAGTAACTACATAGTAACATATAATCAAAACACAGACAATCATATAGCAAAGGGATTTCTTAACACAAAATATGTCTCCGCAACAACTGTGTATTCTTTTATCTGAAATTCTGTGATGTTACTATTTTCAAGTTTGGGAGATCTATTATTTATTCATCAGAAAGCAGATAAAACCTATACCAGAAATCTCAAAATTCATTATCTGAACCCTATTTATAATATTTATTTTATTAAGAAAATATATAATAATTTATAATTTCATGTGATCCAACCTGTATCAGAAATAAGATGGATTATCTTGTGTGTGTGTGTGTGTATGTGCAGGTCTTGCTGTATTCGGATCTTTTCCCGTGTAAGATTGAGAGTATCTTGGTGACATTTCGATGAGGTCCCACTCGTCATCTTCAGGCTGGGTTCTTCGGTTTCGTGCTCGTGCGAGCAAAGTGTGATCGGAGCTGCCGTCTCTCTATATATATTGGTGGTTGTGTGGGGAGTGCTGGCTTAGTTGCTGTAGGTGGATTGATTGGCTGTGTTGGAGTTATTGTTTGTGGATTGTTTGGCTGTTTCGTAACATCCTGAGTAGTTGAGGTGCTGGCTGTGTGCCCATTACTTTTTTGTGTTGTTAATGACCTGGGTAATGGGTTGTGTGATGACATCCTGAGATCTAGTGTAATGATATCCTGAGTTCTGTGTTGCACCATCCTGGGTGGTTGGCTGTTGTAACATCCTGAGCTTTAGCGTTGTAGTCTCCTGAGTTCTGTGATGTGATGTCCAGGGCTGAAGGCTGTGAAGTAACATACCGGGCTTTGGTTTGGCTCCGAGTTTGCGGTCTAGCTGTGTTCATGGCGTGTGTCCGTTTGCTTTGTGTGGAGGTCGGAGGGAGATGCAGCAGCTAGTGATGTTGTCGTGGTTTGGCTTCTGGATGGTGGTTGCATTTCGTCTGAGGGATGGGTTTGGGCTTGGGTTTGGTTCTGGTGAGGGTGAATAATGGTGGCGTACTGTGTTGTTCTGGGTCCGATGTCAGTTTTGTGGCTAGGACTCGTTTGTTGATTAGGGCATTACTTTACAGTAAGAGCAAATGGTTTTCCATGTCCTCAGTTACAACCAAGGACAATTGCAAAGAGAAAATAGCTTCATAAGCAGCATAAACTAATTTTGCCTTTAGAATTATTGGTAAACATCTTGTGAAGGGTGAAAGTTGCATGGCTGTCTGATGTTACTGCTGTCTTCAAAGAGAAAAATTGCAAGAATGCCATTTTTAAATTAAAACCTGAAGGTTTGATATATTTTTAACAATCCTACAACGATTACTATAGAAAGACTTAAACATGGGGCCTACTTTTAGCTTGCTTGGATTCCACAGACACATAAGATATATTAGATAACAGATAAAAATTTATCAGATAGATTCCAGAGAAAATCAAAAAATTGTATTGTGGCAAGGAGCCTACAGAAAAAGAATTAAATACTTGGGCTAATGTTGGGATGAAAATCTATTTTAATACATCATTGCCTTTGCATCCCGCTTTTTAAAAAATCTCTACATGCTAATCCCTTTTTTAAAAGTGTGTTCCTTCCTTTGAGTAAACTTTATTGGGACTCTTCAACTTTTAGCTTCTTATCTCATGATCTTCTAGCTTTTAGCCTACTCCAGGATACTATTTCTATTTCCCAGGCTTACAAGATGATTTAATTCTAAACAAACTGACCACTTTCTTTTATCACATACGCATTTCTTTGTTTCCTGACATCTCAGCTCTTTAACAGATGGGAATGATCATGAACCTTTTGTTAATAACCTCACTGGCTCAATGAATCATTGTTTAGTCTGCTAAACAATGCAGTACAATCTAGAAGTTTCCTGCTATCTCCATCTTCCACATTTCAGAATTTTAAATGTAGAACAGTCAAACTCTATTTCTAGCAAAAATCATTAGTGAGATATAAAAGATTTTTAGAATGTGTCATATGTATCCCCTTGGCAAGGGCAGAAGAGCCAAGTCACAATCAATTTTGTTCAATTACAAAGTGCAACACTTGTTTGTACTATATCATTCAGGATTATGTCATTGTAAAAGCACATCATTGTTATTTATGATGAATTGTCCTATTCCTGTGATCAAGAAACTTTTGGCATCTGTCCTACCCTATGCACATATACACAAACACATACAATGTCCGTACATTATTCCTGAATGATCTTCAAATAAATAGATCCAAAGGCTCCCAATCCCTGGGAAAGTAGATGTTCTCCCTACAGATATCCATATACTTGCCTCCATTCACATGCAAGGCAGCATTAATCAAAGATTAGCACTGTATCTTACCATACCGTGTGGCTTGAGAAGGTACGTATGAACTAAGTCAATCCATTTCTAAATCAGCTGCTTCTCCAAAAGCAACACTGGGAAGATGGTTTGGCAAGGGGGCCCTCTAGAACTCTAGCTAGTTGTGCTTTGGTTTTTTTTCTTTGACATGAAAAGAAGATGTGGAGAGAGAAACTTAAGGGTGAGACTGGAACATCTGCTGCTGCTCCTGTCTTCCCTCTACCAGCCTCCTGGAAGAAGCAGTGGCTGGATCAGAGTAAGAAGAGAGGAGGGCAGTAGAGAGAACACACTTATTGAAGGTTTAGGAAGTGAATTCAGGGGCAGTGTGGAAGGGCTTCTAGACATAGTGACGTAGTGGTTAGAATGCAGTATTGCAGACTAACTCTGCCCACAGCCAGGAATTCAATCCTGACCAGCTCAAGTTTGACTCAGCCTTCCATCCTTACAAGGTCAGTAAAAGGAGGAGCCAGATTGTTAGGGGCAATATGCTGATTCTGTAAACCACTTAGAGTGGGCTGTAAAGCACTGTGAAGTGGTATATAAGTCTAAGTGCTATTGTTATAAGACCTGAGAGAAAGTCTAGTTATCTTGGGAATGGAACCACATAAAGAAACTAGTGGCTAGTTCTGGCATTGCATTATAATTTGTTTCACTACCAAGATATGGAGATAAACTGTGTAATATCAAAAAAAAAAAATTAGCCAAAATATCCTGAGATGGATTTAATTATATAGCTTTGACATGCATATTGAGTTGTGGACCACAATTAAAGCAGCTCTGGACTATTCTGTGAGAATGATACAGATTATATTCTAGCATAGGGATCTCCAAACTGCTAGGGAATTCTGTGAGTTGAAGTCTACAAGTCTTAAAGTTGCCAAGATTGGAGGCCCTTGTTCTAACATATCCAGAGGATAACAAATTGGACACGACTGTTTTAATTCACTTTTGAACAGTGGATGATTCTTCCAAGGTTGGAGTGACCTCTGAGGGGGAAATCTAATATTCTATGGCTCCTGGGATTTTTACAATACTTTTTTGTTCTTCAAGAAATATGGCTGCCTCTATTATATTTCGGCTACAAGAGAAACAGTCATCTTCATTCAAAACTCTTTCTGTGATTGAAAATGATAGAATAAATGAAATTATCATTCCAGCCAGGGCTTCGGTTACAGGTACACAATTGTTTAAGCTGCTTCTGCAGTTGTCATGGGGATTCAACTAAGCAGTTGTTTACTTGTTTACTGAAAAAATTGATATGCCATCCTCTAACTACTAAAACTCTCAGGGCAGCTCATGATTATTATAAAACAATATCAGATACAATATTGTCCTTTGACGGAATGAAAGAGGAAATAACACAGTGAAGCAGAAAAGCATTCTTAAAAAGGACCCAGTGCCACTGAAGTGACAGCTGTCACCTTAGATGAAAGGATGTCAAGGACATTCCAGGTGAGCCACCCTAAGAAGGAGACAACCAACTGTGATCTCTTCATCCAACTTCAGAAAAGAAAAAACAGATATGAAATGACAGATGATTTATACCAATTCACAAGTGTCCTGGGATGTGTAGAGAGAGCAAGGGAAGGGCAAATGACCAAAATTTTGTTGCTATCACAATGTAAGCTCTCTACTCCTTTTTGAATGCATGCCATGAAACTGCACACAGACACAAAGTGAAGGGACTCACAGCGCAACAATGCTGTCATCATCCTGCAGGCATCCCTTAACACAAATAATGAGGAAGTTGTTATTATTAGTAAGCGAAGAAAAATGGTTGCATATTTAGACACCCAGAGTTTTTTCGAAGTTGGGCGGTATACAAATGTAACAGCAACAACAACAAACAACTGCTGACAGAGCTCTCAAAAATCAAATAAGAAACAGCTGCTATTTTACAAGCCAGTGCACTTAATGAGGCCTCCAAATGTGCAAGTGTGACAATCAGCTGTCAGAGGGCTACCTAAACACCTGT